CTCGGCGCCCACGAACGTGCCGTCCAGCTCGATGCTCTTCGGGGGGTCGCCCTCGGCGCCGATGATGATGCCGCTGCGCGGGTCGGTGCGGTAGCGCTTGTACACGTACTTGTAGAAGAGCAGCCGCTTGTCGGCCATCCAGGCGAACACCACGCACACGGGGAAGAAGACGAGGGTCAGCAGCGCCTCCCACACCTGCGGCGGGCGGCAGCGGGGTCAGCGCCGCCAGGGCGCGCGCGTCTCTCCCCCGCCTCTGACCCTCTCCTCGTCCCTCTGCCGTTCGCTCTGGTCTCGGGTCGTCTCTGCCGCTGGCTGTTTCTCTGTCTCCCGCCCCCTCCCCAACCCCCTCAATCTCGCTCTCTCCGTCTCTCTTGGGCTCTGGGCTCCGTCCATCTCCGCCTCTCCCCATCTCGCGAGGTCACTAGGTCGTCTCTCTCCTGCCTGTCTCATTCTTGGCTTTTATCTTTCCTCCGGTCTCTTCCTTTCCTGTTGCCTCCTGTGGCTCCGTCTCCACGTCCTTTTATATACTTCGTAGATACCTATCTCCTTCTCTTGTGAGATTCTTCGAAGATTTTTTCTCTCTCACTCTCTCTCTCCCCCTCCACCTCTCTCTCTTTCGTCTCATCCATCCACCTTTTCTCACTCTGAGAACCATGCCCTGCTGCCCAAGTACCAAGAACCCAGACAGCCTCAGCCACCACCAAGGGGAACCCGCCCCCGGAAGTCCCAGCTCCTGAAGGCGGGAGGGGGGGGACACAGCCTGAGTCTTCTTGCCTCTCTCTCTCTCTCTCCTCTTTTTTCCCTGCTCCATCCCGCCCCCCACCAACTTGGGGCACCTCCACTTCTCCAAACCCCACCCATCGCCCAGGGTCTGAGCTCTGCCCACCTCCCCCACGAACTCCCTCGATCCCCCCCCCCACGCACACACGCACGCACACCCAAAAGTAAATACAACCCTGGCCAGACTGTCCTTCCTTAGCATTTGGCCCTTAGGGACAAGGCTCTCATTCTAAAAGAGGCACAAGTCTGGCTGTCCTGCAGCCTCGCGAAAGGAGTTCCCATATTCACGTGCTGCCTCCCCAGAGAGACAAGGCGATTCTTCCTTCTAGAAGAGGGATACCCAGCCCAGCCTCATCTCTCTAACATGGGGACAGCCCCAAGACTGAATGAGCGATGCACCCCTGACATGCAGGACTGTTGGCTCCTGACACATGGAAAATACTCAAAACGTGAAATTACTATTACTACTATTATTATTATTACTAGTGCTATTCTCTGGGGCTTATCAAGGTCCAGGGCACATAGGTCCGTCTGCCCGTGGGCTGGCACGGGCCTGGGCACATACAGGGAACATCCGCCAACATCTGACAGTTCCTCTTGAAAATATTTGTGAAAAGACTCAGATGTTAACCTTCCTCGTTCAATATAAGGAAGACAAGAGTAAAGAGTATTTACGATCAGATCCTGAAAATCCGAGTCTGGTAGGGAAAATATCTTTTCAGATCCAGTTGCCACGACCCCTCGTCGCTGTGTTTACTGATGGCTCAGAGAAAAGGCTGGACTTGGAAATAGTCAAACTGTACAAAAGCCACCAGGCAGGTTTGTGCAAAGCAGCAGAATTTCCCGCACAAGCTGTACAACGAACCTTTGCTTTGTGTTCACAGAACTGGCCACTGTGTATGTTGTGGGGGGTTTTCTCTTAATCAGAAGACAATCTCAAATCCCTAAGACTGGCTTTTTCCCCTGCAGGTAAATAAAAGGTGATTCTAGCAGATTCCCAGGTCCCTTCCAGGGAGCCCACTGCAAATGGGTGTGTGGATTTGCCCAACTTGGGGAGAGAGTGAGACACCTTCAGGTCTCAGTGGACAGGGACGTCCCCAAGAGGGAGGTATCAGAAATCTGATGTCTATGGGTGGCTTATGAGTTGTTTATGAGTTGCCGCCATAGTTGCGGAGGGGATAGGGCCTCGGTCTGGTGACATCCAGTGACTCACGGGACAGCCCCACACGATACAGAATTGCCCCACGTCCCTCCTGCCTTCAGAACCTCCCACTGGACATTCGCGCCGGTGAAAAACCTGCTCATCGTAACTGGAGCCTAGAACACAACTCTGTCTTACGTATGTAGGAAGTGTTTTCCCGTATGGTTTAATACACGCCAAATACGCTCGGTTTTAACGTCACGGCGACCCGCTCCCCGGCTGGCACCTCGCATGGAACGGTCTCTGCTCTTTTCCTTCCTTTTAAACCCAAACTTGTCCCTTATACATAGGTGCCGTATGATGACTTTTAGGTAGTAAATACCGAGGCCTTTCCATCTAATAAGGGTTCTATTAGAGATTCCTTTCCTTCATGGATTGTACTGACTTTGGGAAGCCGGCCACATAGGCCAAGTTCATTCACGGGGAGGACCTCTCACACTCCCTCCGTTCCAGGCTCGCTGCTCTAAGCCCTTCCACGGGTTCGCATTCAGTCGATCCCCATGCAGCCCTCTGAAGTCAGCACGGATGACCCCAGATTACAGGCGGGGTAACTGAGGCACAGAGCAGGTAAGGAACTTGCCCCAGGTCAGACAGCTAGCAAGCAGCAGAGGTGGGATTTGAACCCACACCCCCGGCTCCACGGCCCATGCACCAAATTCCGAGGCTACGCGACTTCTCTCCTGTTGCCTAAGGATTTCACGTCAGCAAAGCAAAGGGGGACGTTAACGACACATCTGTTATAAAAAGGGAGTGTTGGGCATGAAGGGTCCAGAACCAACGGTCTAGTCCTACCCCTTCCATGCTCAAATGCGAAAACAGGCCCAGAAAAGGTATGGGCTTTGCCCAAGGTCACACAGCACTTCCAGAGAAACTCTGGAGCCAGACGGACCTTCTCATGGCACGAGTTCCCTGCATCCAGGCATCACCTTCGTCCCACGCCAGTGCCTTCAGTTACTTCACGAAAATGTCCCATAATGCTGGTCTCTGTGTTACGCTCCCCAAAGGGTTCTCCATGGCTACTTCTCCCCCAAGCTGTGGCATCTTACACCTTCCGTCCCTTGCGTCAGAGCCAGCTCCTGCTCTGGGGGAAATCTCTCCTCCACCCCCGTCCCTACCCTACCTCTCGCCCGAAGTGTCTAAAATTTTTTTCACAGTTTAGGTGTAAATCCTTATCGAAGACCAGCTTGAAAACCTGTCAGGAGAGCATCTCTCTTACTAACACCTGAAAACTATGGCACATGTCGCCTCTGTGCTTTTTGCCGAGGCAGCCAGGAAACTCAGCGTCGCCGTGGGGAGTCAATCACGGTACCTGTCTCTCTCCTTCTCTCATCTCTGTCTTCTGGTGCCACCGTCTCCCTTTTCCTCATTGTGCCTTCTGACCCCCCCCTCCCCCAGCTCTGATACCATCTGCAAAGAATTTTTATGCCTCTACGTTCTGATCTTTCCTGGAAAGAAACTGTAACTGGCTAAAGCTGATGAATAAAAATGAATAGGTCACGCATGTGTGTGAAGGAATCCCGGGTAGCCTCAAATCAATTATGCACGTGCGCGAATGAATGAGGCAGGCCCGTACCTAAATTATGCAGATGTAGGCAGCGGTCTGTTGACTTGTGGGAAATAAATTAGGCAAACGTTTTAAAGGAAGACTAGGCAGTATGTTGGTTAAGACGCTGGACGCATGACAGGCAAATAAGTATGTGAATGTCGGTGTAAAAGATGCAGCTGTGGGTCTCGATGTTGTCTCACTATTGGAGTAAATTATGCAAAGTGGTCCTCGCTGCGGACTGGGTTTACACCTATGGATGTGGGTATAAATTACGGTGAAGTGGCATGCATTATCCTAACATCAGAAATCAATTATGAATAATTCATGAACGGTGCAAGGCACACGACTGCGTATCTGGTAAAAACAGAGTTAGATTACAAAGATGTGGGCATGTTATCTGTGCACGTCCAGGGATACATTATGCAAATTGCACCAAGTTACCCCAGTGGATTAGCACTGTCGGAAAACACAAGGCTGGATTATTCACCCACGGCACGAATTGTACAAACGGGGGATGTCTTATTGCAAAAGCGAGAATAAATTATGCAAAAGGCAGGGCGTGTAGGAAAATGTGAGCATACCTAGCGAACACCTGGCCGGACTGCAGTATGCACTGCACACGTCAGAAGGACTCTGTTAGCATATGTGTCGCCTGTGAGTTAAAGGTGCCCCTTCTGGAAGGGTCCGTTGAAGATGGTGCCCTCCTCTTGGCAGGTAAGCCCTTTCCAGGCCTCCAGCGC